ATGAATTTTAAAACTTATTATTGTATATTATTAGTTATTTATAAATATTTTTTTATTTATTTTTTTAATTTTTTTAAATATATATAATTTTAATTTATAATTATTTTTTTTTAATAGGAAAAAATAGTTTCGAAGTAAAATCCTCGTAAAGGTTTCGAGGTAAATTCCTCGTAAACTTTCCTAGCAAACTCCTCGTAAAACGTCTACTACGAGTTTACGAGGAAGTACTTTACTACGCCCTTACGAGGAAAGTCTACGTGGAGTTTACGAGGAAATGTTTTCCACGGCTTTACGAGGAAAACTTTCCTCGTAAATTAGCTAGGCCTTTACGAGGAAAATAGTCTTTACGATGAACGTCTTTCGACGAAACACGTTTCCTCGCTATTTCCTAGTAAAGGGCTCTTTACTAGGAAATAACGAGGAAAACCCGTCCTAGTAAAGGACGTGTTTTCTTGTAGTGAATATTCTGCATCATTTATTAATAAATAATTCAAACTAATATCACTTATCTTTGTGATATAATTTAAGTGATGCAATCCAGTCTTTTTTTGTAGTGATTTTGTTTTCTTCAAAAATTACAACTTCATACCATTGAATTAATAATTATTAATTTAACTGTATTGCTTTATAAGCAAGCAATATTCTGTTCGATATCCTCCTGCATTATATTCCAATACCTATTTAGTAGTTGGTTTACAGAGCATAATAACCACACTCAAAATCTGATAGCATACTATTTATTTAATTGACTGACATTTCATAACCAAATTTTATAAAATAATCGTGGTTTGTGTGTTTGTGTTATTAATTATTTATAAAATAACAGGGTTTTGATTTGTGTTTTCGTATTTGAAATCAACAATGATGGTTTATTTAAAACCAGTTTTTTTTTTTTTTTTTCATATTTGAAAAACACTATCATATACGATATACAAAATCATAGAAGAAAGCATTACCACACCATGAACTTTGTTTTATACATACAACGGATGGTTAGTAAATTTAACAAATTATTTCGGCGAAAGAAAAAACAGATGAAATGCCTAAACAGAACATTTTACAATATTAAATACACTTTTTGTTTTTAGATATTCACAATCTTTGTCAACTCCACATAATATTCATAAAATGTATGATATTAGCAAAAATAGCTTAACGTGTGCCTACTTTTTAGTTTCCACCTAAATGGAAAATTCTTTTAGTTTTAGTATGTATTCTTAACTTATCATATTTTTTTGTTTGCGTTTTTTAAAAATTGTGTGTTGAAAATAAAATTCTGAATATTTTTATCAATAGAAAACATAAACGAAAATATTTCCAATTAAATTCCATACTTTTTACGAACCTTATATGATATACATTTAATATTAAAATTTACTCAAATGGAATTATATGCCCACTATGCATTTCTTTTGCTTTTTTATTCAGTAGTATGTATTCCATCATTAAAAACAAATAAACAAATGTCTAAATATTAGCTTAGATTACATGAGGAGAATATAAAAGCTAGTGTTGTTCTTCTTGAAACTCATGTAGAAGATGGGAACTATCCTTTCCTCGAGCTATCGTCGCGTGATACTCTCACTGTTAGTCGAACTATGAAGAGCTTCTTGAATAAGGTAATGCCTCTTAGTCTTTTCTATGCTAATAACTACTTTCACCATCCCACTCGGTTGTGATTTTCATCTCTTGTCCGGAACTTGTGGTGTTTTTCTTAGAACAATGCAGGCATCACTGCAGGAGGAGCCAATGGTTATCTTTACAAAGAAGCTGACAAGTCCTGCAAAGTGATATTAGGTGCTCTCCCCTGGAAATTGCAGCAGCCTCACAGGTGCATGCATTACGGATTTGTTTCTGATTCTAGTTCTAGGTACTGTACTTGTTCTGTTCGCTCTGACCGTGTTTGGTTTTCATTAGTAGAGCCAAGTCGTGATTATCCTGAGGGTTTGTAATTACAAAGTTGGGATTTAGGAGTCTGTTTCAGCCTCGTCTCTAGCTAAAGTTAGGAATTAATTACTCATTACTCATTTCTCGTCTCCCTACCTCAACTGCTGCCTAATTGGTAATCAAATTTTTAAACGAATAGATTTTTAGTCGTGTTAAAATAATGTAGCCAATTGTATCTTAAATCAGTGTTGGGAGATTAAGATCAGTTTTCTTTTTTGACTAATAGACACTGCGAATTAGTACTTCAAAATATACTAGTATCAATTGTCGTGCAAGAATAGAAAGTACTTTGGTAGACGGAACCAGTTAGAAAAGAACAGAGACACGACCCTCGCCTTTTGCATTTAATAGTCATAATCACTGAAACGGTTGAATATAATCAATAATATTGAAGACCACCATGTGTCTCTCGATCTTTCATTTTTGCTATATGTCACAACTGAAATGATGTTATTCAATAGCGATTTTTTTCAATATTTAGGGCTCCTCGATCATTGACTGTCATTGTTGACCATTCCTCAAGAGTGTTTCTAGGATGTGATTAAACAAATTAACAGTAGCACCTTAGATGTCATCAAGACTGGACCATAGCTCGCATATTAGTCACACGCAAACTTACACTTTCGGTATAAGTCTTTAGATAAATTAAAAAATTAAAAAATAAATAAAATTCTTAAAGTCCAGTGATCATTTCGTAATTGTTTGCCTTTACATTCTGTATAGCGAATATAAAATTCAAAAATTAATATGGACTTGAGACCAAAATTCCCTTAAAACTTGCTCGTTAAGCCATCTAATGTTGTCCGTTCTTTAGAGAAATGAAACTCAAAAAGAAAAGATTTTAGAATTCAATAATCACAAGCTAAAAGGAAAAGGGCCACACACATGAAGTGTATTTAGATGAAGATATGTTGATATTATATAGTCATTAATATAGCATGTGGTCCTTTAGTTCAATAGTCATCTGCTTTTGTTAAAAGTCGGTTTGACCTGTAAACATAACCGCACATACGTGCCAGACGAACCAGAGTGCAAAAATACGTGTGACTATTACTGTAGAACATTATTTGAGAACACAACATAGTGTGATATGGACAAAACTGATAACATTGGTTATATTATATACACGATCTTTGTTTTTAAAAATGTGTACCATTTTATATTAGAGTACCAAGTTGCTTGTAATCTTACGCTTCGGACACAACTCACAAGCAATCCTATCTTCAAGTCGTTTTCAGGAATTATCAACCCGCCACGCAAAATACACTCACTTTCGTTCTTTTCTGACTCGAACTCACCAAATGAATGTAACCATTTTGATTATTTTAGTATAATACTATCAGCATCTTTAGTTTAAAAGCAATTAAATATCACTTTTAAATTTCTCCTGAAAGAGTCCCTCTGAGAAAGCTATTAAAAATTTGCACGTCGTCGTTGTGGATGACACGAGGTTGAAAGTCAGAAGTACCTCTTTGAATTAACTTTAAAAAAAAAAAAAGCTAAATTAACTAGCCATCAAGATTGTGTGTATCTATTTGATTATGGAACAAACCTTACGTAGAAATTTTAAAAAAATTATGAAAAGATTTGTATATGGAAGATGAAATCATAGTTGCACCATCTTAAAACAGTATCTCCTTTAACTATGGAAGATGCTTCCATACTTTATTTCTATGTTCACATCATAATAAGTTTGGTTTCGACCTCACCTAAATCCTAATATCGCTTTCACGCTCAAAATCTTCCTTGTCTTTTTAACGTGATAAAGAATAACGGGGAATATAATAGTACCATGTAATTTTCATCTGTTCATGCTTTGGTTTAAGAATTTTTTAGCCTAATAATAGAATTAGGCAAGTAGTGGGCGGACCTCTTGTGATGTCACTGAGAATGAACCAAATTTATGATGAGAAATATACCAATAAAACTATATAAGAGATATATAGTAGTAGTTTAAATATGGCCATTATTTAACAATTTGATGGTGGCACATACTCTTCCATGAAAGGAGGACGTGTAACCCCATATTTATTTTGGCCTTTCTTCAACGCCTCTCAGACGATTCATAAAACTACTTGTAAATATTACACGTATAGTCGCTACTTGCTCGTGATATCAGTATAATTTTTAAATTATATGAAATTCGTTTTTCAAATGCCACTCCCACGCAAAAGAAAAAACTTCTTATCTTCCAACCTTTTGAAGACATTTAAATTCGACTTGTTAATACAAAAAAAAAATCAAGTGGAGACGAGTAGTGATAAAAACAAGTAAATCTAATAATAACAAAGATTACACGTACGAGAACCCTATTGGCACTCAAATAATCGTCCCCGAGCCTTCTTCCCAATTTGGGAGCCACAAAATAGAAGATTATCCATATCGTTTATGTGCAGGTGATATGGATATCTAATTCTCGAACTACTAAGTTTATTTGGTGTTGGTGAACAAGCTCCCAAGAGATTAGTCAGTGGTGTATATGAGGGTTTGTATAGTAACAAAATCAGACGATCGTAGTCACTAGCTAAAGCGTCTAGAGTAGCGGTAAATGCGTTTCTCAAAAACATAAAGACATCATTATCCACTGCCATCTGATACAATCAAGAAAGAGAAAAACACATGTCATGTTCTTACAACAAATTCTTGACTTAAAGAGAGTAGCTAGACCGGCCCCCGACCATCCCGATGTGTATCCTATATAGTGACAGAACCTAAACTCGATAATCGAGTGTCTTAATCCTAGCAAAAATGTAAATGTTCACTGTTTAAACAAATATGGAATGACGATAAATCTATTTAAAACGAGGGGATCCTGTCTTTTTTTCTTGTCAATGAGGAAAAAAACAAGTCTGATCAAACTTTGTGGTTTCCAACCCTCTTATTCATCATTTAGTCATATTATACGCTATTAAAGGATATAGATCCTGAAATAATGTAAGGAGGAATAAGATCGAGTAGAGTAAAATCTTCCAGATCAGGAAGACGTGTCTTTCCACTACTATCTTTCGTTTTCTCTTTTTAAAATATTCCACTTTCTTTAATGTTCATGAATCGAAAGATTCCCAATTTTACATATTCAAATGCATCTTCTATCTGCTTATTCCATCTTGGGTAGTTTTTTAATTGGTCAGTCAACTATCCATATTATAGCATTCTCATTTTTCCTTGTTATTCTTTTTTTTTTCTGAACAAAATTCCTCCTCGTATTCATTTTTCCTTTCTACTCCTTAAATGTGAAATTTTATCACCGATCGTGCTTTGACACTTTTACTTTCCTTAGGAGATTTAAAGATTTTTCTATATCCAGAAAGACCATCTCCTCGTTCCCGGTTCGTCATGTAGTAAACTCCAATCCATTACCAAACGCAACCTGCGAAAGGTGAGAAAAACAAAACATAAATTAACCACACAAAAAAAAATAACAAGAAACGAAAATTAGTAAGCAAAAAATAAAATAAATAATAATTAAGCAAAACCACATAAATGAAAAATCATACCTTACACGATGAACAACGCATACCTGGAAAATTAACGGAACGCTCAACGGCAAACAAGACGGTCAACGAACAACGCGAACGTTGACTTGACAACACACGAAAAAAAACAGTAATTAGACCAACGCTGCAGACACACACACACACACAATGGATGTGAGATCTAAAATCTAACTTGTGTTATGAAAAACTGGATTACAGAACTCTTTGATTCAGATCTAACTATTCATACCGGATTTTGATTTTAAAAGTAATTTGACATTCTTTTGAGACAAAAAAAAAAAACATGAAAACAAATAGTAAAATAAGTATGTACAAATGCACTTTCGCATCTTTCTTCACCCAACAACAACAAAAAAAATATATGATGGTGTGTTCGTTCCTTTTACAAAAACTCGATTTCAAAGGTTGTGATTCTCTCCCACAATAACCGCATCTTCCCGACCAGATCTGTCGCCATATTTGATTATTCCTGTTGTGTCTTTTTTTTTTAAATAAGAGAAGAACAAACCTGAAATCCGAAATTACATTTCAGTTTACAAATCAGCTCTCGACATAATAGAAAGCCTACTAGGACGAGGCTGAAACGCAGCTCTTCTCTTCAAATGATGCGAAGAAGGCCTTATCAAAGTCGTCAACGATCTTCTCACCCACTCTCCTTCAACTCCACCGATTCTCACCAGCGAATTCGTCATCGCTGATCTCCTCATATTCAAACTATTAGTCGTGAACGACGCCGTTCCTTGCCCGTGCGGGTTCGCTACGTTTTTATGTAGACTACATCGAAAAGAGCCAGGATGCGTCGTCGGAGAACACATACATCTCCTCCTCGTCGTCGTCGTCCTCGTTGTTTCGGAGATCTTATGCTGCTGCGGTTTCTTTGAAACGGAGATGGAACGGTTAGAAGGAGGGTTGGATCTGTTGTCGAGAGAGTAACGAAAGGAGTGAGACATAGGTTTGGGAGTGTATAGGTTTTCTTGGTGGTTGTTGAAGAAAGATGAGGAGGGTGATGAGAAGGTGGAGCTTGTGGAGGAAGCGAACGAAGAAGATGGTGATTGGGAACGAAGAAGAGTGTTTGACTTGTTACGAGACGATGTGGTCAACATTGCTTATATTTAGAGAAACTCAAAAAGTCAAAAGAGAACAAGGAAGAGGTTTTTGAGTATCTCTCTCTCTCTCTCTAAAGGAGGCCCCGGAGGGAGGTTGGTTCGGCAAACCTTAGCGAGTCTCCGGAACCGAATATATAGCGAAAATGTGGGAAATGGCATAAGTGTAAATACTTGGAAAGATTTTGACCTTTTTCGAATTTTTGGGGGTTAGTCAAACTTTAACCATGGTTAGCTATTATTATGGGGTTTTTAATTCTTTTTTTTTTTTGCCTTTGGCGGTTTTGCCGTTTCGAAAAAAATAAGAGTTGGGTTCTTTGATCCGACGGGTGAGAAGGAGTGTTTTTGTGGGCAGTTAGGAAAGCTGCCACGTATGGTGACTAAGTAAGATGTCAGCTTGTATCCCGGGAAAGCTGTAATAACAGGGAAGTGCCATTTGCCCGTTGGTTTACAAATTCCAATGGGATTAATTTTTCGTCACAATTCCACGCTAATATATAAAATTATAAATATAAAACAATTCCAACCAAAAATATAAATAAAAATCAATGTAAAATGATTAGTTAACATATTTTGAATTGTTTTCTATTTATATTTCACTAATTTAATTAAAGATATGCTAATTAGTTATTTTATATTGATTTTTATTTATATTTTTAGTTGGAATTGTTTTCTATTTATAATTTTATGTATTAGCATTTTAGTTATTAAAATATTATTTTTAATATCTCGTTAATTCGTGAAGTTTTTTAAAACCACTGGTTGCAATCATTAGAAATAAGAACATACTGTGTAATGTTTGTTGGAGTCTGGATGAGATATAACAACGGTAATAAATAAATGACTGAGAGAAAGTTAACTAACATCAGTGACAATCTTCACACCATATTCTTATATGGGTAGACTAGGAAGCTTTTATTTGAATCGAATTTGTAACCAAAACTATTCCCGTTTCCAGATTGGTTCATAATTTAATTTAAGAAAAATAATAATTCATAACATGTAGCAATCACTATTAACAATTAAATTTTATTTTAACAGCTTTTCACCTCAAACCTACTGGTGAAATTAGCCAAACTCTTGGAGGGACTTCAAAGCAAAGTCATAACCACAACCAATCTGTAATTTGTTATACTTGTTTGAGGAGAATCATGCAACTATATATGTTTGATACTAGACTCAGAACTAAACATCCTAGGTATTGATGGAACTAGTGACTTGGGCTATTCTCCTAAGATTATTCGGATGAAAGTGATTAGAATATATGCTATAACTACTAATAGTTAGACCAAAATTTGAAGCTCTTTGTTCTTGAGAACTAATTACATATTGTAAAAAAAATTGGTTGTTCATGAGATGCTTTATTTCTTAAACACAATATTCCAACATTCTTCGTCGTTTATAGCCATCAATTTGTTTGTGTGCAAATGTTTATATGGTTGGGGAGGACTTGTTAAAATATGGTAAATGTTGAATATGGACTTGTGTTTCAGACAAGTCCAGATTTAAGGTGATGCAAGAATCTCGGTTGATCTACTATATGTAAAGGACGTAAAATGGATACATATTCTTAATTTGATTGAGATGATCAAAACTGAGATTAAAAAATTCAATACTAGCCTAACAAAAACGATGGATCAAGGATGAACCATTTTATGAAAAAGAAAGCAATCTTGATGTAATTCAGATATAGTATCAATAATTAATTTAATAACACTAAGATATTATATTAACTTTGTCAGAATAAATAAAAAGATAATTCAAATCCCACATCGGATATTAGACACAATAAAACATAATATATATAACTAATGTAATCTCACTTAATATAAAACATTTTAAAAGTAATGATCCAAGAACAAATTCGTGAAAGCTTAGATCCAAAACGGATAATATCATACTAAACAAGTGATTGGACATCTGTGACGGACATCTGGTTCTAGTTAAGCGTCTGATCTCTAGCACATACATCCGTTCAAGCTAGAATAGAGCATCTAATTTAGGAGTGCATCTGGTCCGTCACACAGATTGGTATCAGAGCCAAAGTAGCGTAGTTCTTGGTTTGAGAAGAGAATTATCTGAATAAATAAATAAAAGTCTAAATCCCACATTGGATATTAGAAAAAAAAAATCTATATATATAACTGGTCTAATCTCACTTATTATGAGATTTTTCGAAAGTAATAATCCAAAAAAAAATTCGTGAGAGCTTAAACCCAAAGCAAATAATATTATTCTAAGCGAAAGATTAAACATCTTATAACGAACAGCTGGTTCTAATTGAATGCCTAGAATCCACCAAAGATATTAGTTCAGATTCGAATAGAACATCTAGTCTAAGAGTGCATCTAGTCCATCACAACAAACTTTATAAATAAAGTAAGAGAATATAGAACATTATGTATAGTAAAGTATGTAGGATAATTTTAACGGGTTAGTTTAAACAAATCTAAGAACTTTAATCATTTAAATTAGTAAAGATGGTCAAAATAATGCGGGGCACATGGAGTTCATGTTGGTTGAATTAGGGACTAACAGTTATATTAACTAAATAGGACAAAGTTATATATATAGTAAATAAGTAGGATAAAAACAGGACAAAAATCATATAAATAGATATAGAAAATATTCTTGTTACATCATCTATTACTTATAATAACTAGGCTACATCTAATGCAATCCCTCTAAGTTTGTGACTAGATGATTTTGTTAGGAAAAAGTTGTTCAACTTTTTCAAATACTTCTCGAAACTATCCATGAGACGTGGTTGCCCATCATTGCTGGCATTTCTTTTTCAGGTGATTCATTATGTCTGCATTAATCTTTGTTGCTTGAACTATGTTCACAAACATGTTAATCTGCAAAACAATACAAAAAACGCCCTTACTTCCTTTTCATGGATTAATCTTTGTTACTAATATTTTTTCATGTACTTCGTCCAAACCATACATTTCTGTCATATGTTTTTTAAGTATGATCATTAAGTCTGATTGAGATTGTTTTGCTCTTTACCAAACAATCTTTTACCAATCAGTTACTACAAGTTCGTTTATGTGCTTGTCATTGAAAGACCTAGACAACTTTAAAACAATAATTTAGTCAATATGAAATCAAATAAATGTTTTTGTGTCCAAAACCATACCTAAGATAGACACTTTCAACTTTTTGTATATTTAGAATTTTACTGATTCACCGCATCAAAGCTCCATACACCCTCATTAGCTATTAATCAAAGTTATGGATCATCTCAAAAACAAGTTATAGTTAATGAATATAGTAAATTAATGAATATAGTAAATCAATGATAAAATAAACGGATAATAATTTGTTGAGTATCAATCCAAAGAAACAAAACTGTTTGACTAGTAATCCATTGTCGGACTGGAATTTGAGTTATTTAACATGGTCATGGTCATGTGAGTATTGTTGCTTTATTACAACCAATCTTTGCTTTATTACAACCAATCTGCTAGTATCATCTGGAAGCACCTCCATTTTTGCTCTACTTTTTACTTCTTTTTATGATATTTTTGAAGGAGTCTTTTACTCTAGCGGTGACAAGATCACGAGACTTTCCATGGGTCGGTTTGTAATCTTGGGTCATTGATTAGCAAATAAATCGACTTTTACTTTGGTGATATGGGAGAATATAAAGTGTACTAAAGTCCTATTTCAACTGAAAATGATGTCCGATATCATGCAATGTAAGATATATGCATGTGATGTTAAGCAGAATAATCTTATGTATTGATGACTTGACGCCAATAGTAGACTTTGGTGATTATTTAATTTGTAGCAAATCCGAGAATCCTATTATTAAGAATAAGATGCTTATTTTACTCCGGGATATTTTGATATACCTCCCTATTATTAAAGTAGAGAGGTAGCAATGAGGTTGTACTAGTATTCATTACTCAATATTATAATCTCTAGGTTTCGATAATTATCATATGATGCTGATTTGCCATTGCTTCTTCTCTGCGTGGACACCTCGTTGTAGATTTGGTTAATCAATAACCATCGATCTAAACAATCCAATATTCATTTATATAATTTTTACTAATACAACCATCTCAATATTTTTAGTTTTTTGTTAAATGTTTCGATTATGGCTTCGAATGGTAAAAGCAGATCAAGCGGTGCAGATCAAGCGGTTCATGCAAATCAAGCAGGACAAGTGCAGATAAAGCAGGACAAATGCAGATCAAGCGGATCAAGCAGGAGAGATGCAGATCAAACAATTTATCATAAATTATGAATGACAAAATAAGTTCAAAACTATAGATCATATATTAAAAGAATAAAATTATACCAAATATCAATATAAATATTTAAATGTTGTAGGATCAGCCTAAATGTTTATTGGATTTTTCATAAGATGCTTGTAGCGTTTTAGTTGATCAAAATTATTTTTGAATAACAGACATCTTAATATTTAATTCTTTGTTAATATTTATATATAAAAATGGAGATAAAACAGATTAAATAATTTATTATAAATTATAAAAGACAAAATATGTTCACATTATATATCATATATTAAAATAATAAAAATTACACCAAATATCAAAACAAAATATTTCAGATGTTGTATGTTCAACCAAAATGTGTGTAAAAATTTTATTAGATGCTTATACTTCTTCTATTTATTAATTATTTTAAAATATAAAATAATTATTTTTTTGCTGACACTTATGTAGAAAAATTTATATTTTTCGTGGAAAATATTGTGTTTTTTGGCGATTAGACATCATGCTTATAACTTTAAAATGATACAAATAATATTAATGTGAACTATA